AGTGGGGTTCATTAATGCTTCAAGGTACTCAGTTTTTCTAAGGTACTTGGAGTTTCCCTTTTGACATCAACTCTTTTAGTAGTTTATGCAATCATGGCTCCAATTATCTGCTTTAATGAATCCCTTGAGGGCTTTGCATGACACTCACTGGGGCTCATTAATGCTTCAAGTTACTTCAGTTTTTTAAAGTACTTTCCTTTTTCCTTTCCTCCCTTACTCTATGAGTGGTTTTTGGGCAATTCTGGCCTCCAGTTCTCTCCTCCAAGGAGTCCATGTGGAGCCTGTGTTTGGGATGGACCTCAGTGGGACCTATTAATCCTTTGAGACACTTTGGGTTTTTCTTCTGACTTGGACTCCTTGAAAGATTTGTGCAATCTCCTCTCCAGCCCTGAGGTTCAAGGGCTCAGCTCCAAATGCACCACGGGGCTGACTGGGATCAAGCAAGTCCTGACAAACCATGGCTCTGCTTTGATTTCCCTCTGGTCAAGAACATATCCAGCAATTAGTTACACTGAGTATTTCAGCTACTTTGATCTTTCCATTTTCATCACAATTTTCATGACTAATCCTTGGTAAAAGTAGAGGTGTTTCTGGCAAACAAAGATTCTGGCTGCCTATCAAGGTACAATTTACAGACTTCAGTAGTACTTTAGTGACATGGCTCTTCATTCTTTTTCCTCAACCTCATTTGGGTTAGGAACAATAATTCTGTTGTCCATGGAGCTGATGCCTTTTTAATTCCAGAATAATGTCCCCAAGGTCCTTTGCTGTTCAGCTCTACTGTGCTGTCTGTGGGTGACAAGGCTTGGTGGGGTCCTTTCCCCTCTGGCTGGAGAGGTGCCAGGTCCCAGTCCCTGAGGGCACCCAGGCTCCTGGCTGGAATTCGTGTGGAATTCCACATCCTCAGTGTCACATCAGCCTTCACATGGAACCCCGTGGATCAGAGCATTTTCCAAGAGTTGTTGGGGCGAACAGGGAGATTTGGTCTGGCAGGATCTGTAAAACAATATCCCATAACATCCACTTGTTCTGGCACAGAACACTTGGCTGCAGGGAAATTTTCCCATTGTTCTCAGCCAGGTTTCAGGATTCAAACAGTGTTGTCTTTCCCCAGAGCTGTTCCTTCAGCTGGCCTGGGAGGGCCATTTGGCCTCTGGACCCACACTCTGGCTCCATTATTAGGACTGGTGCATCCAAAGCCTTTATCTCCATGAACAGCAGTGATTTGAAGTGGATGTCCTTTTTTCACAGTTGTTTTAAAAACTGCAATATCAATAATTGTGCTACCCTTCCACAATTGAATATGGGGTTGAATAATCCAATTGTTCACTACTGTTTAACAGAATTACTTTAATTTCTCCTTGATAATCTGCACCAATTCCTCCTCCCATGACATGAACACTTTTCAAGGCCAAGCTCCAGTGAGCAGTCATCAAACCAAAGTGTCCTGGAGGAATCTGAA